GGGAAAGAGGCTTTGCTGGTCTAGGCCAGTTAAAATTAGCCCAGGGGAGCAGGGGGGGAACTGTGCTGAGCCCCACTGAGGTTGGAAATACACACACACAAAAGGAGAAGGGATTGTCTTGTCAGAGCAGATGATGCTGGTGTGGGTGATAAGGGAATATCCCTCACTCAGGTGCTGCCATTTCAGCCTGATCCTGGGGGCTTTTCCCACTGTCTGTGTCCCATGGTTCATCCCAGTGGGATGTTCAGCTGCAGTAAAGGAAACATGGTGCTTTTAAATCCCAGTTTTTCCCCCTAACCTTGAGCTGCTTGTGCTGAAGCAGGGCCAGGTCTTCTTCAGGTGATGCTGGAGTATTTTGCTGCATACAGGCACCATGGGCCCAGCTGCTGCCCCACACTCTCCCCAAGGCCTTGGTGCAGCATCAAGGAGAGGACGGGGAGCAGGATCCTCAGCTGAAAGGGGAGATCATCTGCTGCCTTTGCCCTTTCTTGGAAAAAAAAAAAAAAAAAAAGTAAATAAAACCCCATCCTTCCTTTTGCGGAGCCTTCACTTAGTCACCCCCTTTGTTGAGAGAACCTTGGCAGGGGCTGGTGGAAAAAAGGCAAATGTGTTTGCAAAAGGCAGCTTGAAAAGGGAAGGGTGGGAAAATCCCTGAATCCACAGAAAAACCCAAGTAGAAGGGGAAGCATCATCCCTGGCTTGTTCCAGGCTTGCAGGCCCTTCCACTGCCCTGGAAAGCAGAGAAACCCCATTCCTGGAGCAGGGAAGTTCTGAGCAATCCTTCTCTGGGAGCAGGCTGGAGGGAGAAAGGATTAAGGGTCATAACTCTCCAATATTAAATAGGTAGGAAACTGGCAACCAGAGGCTGAGAAAGCCCCATGGGATCTTTCACAGAATCACAGAATCATCCGGGTTGGAAAGGACCTTGAAGATCATCAAGTCCAACCATCACCTAATCTACCCATTCAGTGCTTAAATCATGTCCCTCAGCACCACATCTACATTTCTTTTAAACACTTCCAGGGATGGTGACTCCACCACCTCCCTGGGCAGCCTGTTCCACTGTCCAACCACTCTTTGGGTAAAGAAATTCTTTCTAATATCCAGTCTAACCCTCCCCTGGTGCAGCTTCAGGCCATTTCCTCTGGTCCTGTCATTATTCACTTGAGAGAAGAGCCCAACTCCCACCTCCCTACAACCTCCTTTCAGGGCTCTTTAGAAAGCAATGAGGTCTCCCCTCAGCCTTCTCTTCTCCAAACTCCCCATTGCTGGAAGCTTCATAAAGCTCCACCTCCCTAAGGTTGTGTAGTTTTGTCCATGCAGCCCAGTCCCAGGTCAGGTTCAGTGAGAGAAAGCTTGAAGTCAGGAGATTTATGATAAACCTTTAAAGTAAATAATTAAATAATAATAAAAAAACAACCCTATTTTTTTTCCAACCTCACTGTTTTCATGGCAATCTCCTGGTTTTTGGGGCCCTGACTCATGGTCTCTGAATGCTGTGAAGCACTGCTTTTATTTCAGCCTTCATGAGCTGCCCTCAAACATGCTGCTCTGAGGGTTCAGGGCATTTGGTTTTTATTAACAACCAATCACCCACCCCTCTGCTTTCATCTGCAACATCCAGCCTTCAGGTCTTTCTTGTGGCTGAAGGCTCCTGGCCAAGCCTGGAAGAGCTTGGCAGCATCATGGGCCCCAGGGCTGAGCACTGGGGTGGCACTGCCCAGCCCCCTGCCCGGGGGATGCAGGAGAGGACCAGGGACCCCACACCCCCTCCTGCACCCTGTGGACCACCACCTTTTTTCTTAGAAATAAATAGAATGTGAGATGTCTGAGTAGTCACCTGGTTGGTGAGGCTGGTAAGGCACCATCCAGGCAGGATTTGGGGGTCAGCAGCATCGGTGTCTGGTGGGATACAGTTAATGTAGCAGCACCATGCACCCAGCAGGGCTGAGCACCTTTCCCCAACCCCTCAAGCCCCTCTTCTCCAGCTCTCAGCACCCATTTGGTCAGGGGCTGTCTTGGGGATGACAGGAAGCAGAGCTGGGCAGAAAACAGCAAGGGACTGAAGCATCTACCTGCCTCAAGCACTGGAATAGACTCCCCAGGGAAGCAGTAATGGCACAGAACCTGACAATATTCAATAAACATTTGGACATGGTGTGAACTTTGGGGTGTCCTATTCTGTGGTGGGAGTTGGACTGGGTGATCCAGGCTGTCCAAGGACATGGTTGGGCCACCATCACTGGAGACATCTGAGAAGACAGATGTGGTGCCAGGGGACAGGGTTCAGTGGTGGATGCTGCAGAGTTAAAGTGCTGGTTGGACTCAATGATCTTGACAGTCTTTTCCAGCCAGAATGATCCTGTGATCCTGTGATATGAGGAGAGACTGAGAGGGCTGTTCAGCTTAGAGAAAAGGGGGCTGAGAGGGGATCTCATCAATGCTTAGAAATATCTACAGGAGGTGTCAGGAGATTGGGTCAGACTCTTCTCAGTAGTGTCCAGAGACAGGACAAGGGGCACTGGGTACAAGCTGGTACACAGGAGGTTAAACCTAAATATAAGAAAGGGCTCTGAGGGTACCTGGGGTGTGCAGCCAGCCCCAGATTACCCGGGACTCTGGGCTGCCCATCACTGGCAAAGCCTGGGGAAGAGCAGGCAGGAGCTGTGGGCAACCCCAGAGGGATTGCCAGGGCCCATCTCCCAGGGAACCCCTGTCAAAGTGGCAGCTCCATGGATTTGTTCTCCCCCTCTGGGTCAGCACCTGCTCCCAGAGGACCACAGCCAGGGGAGCATCATCTCTGCCACTTGCTTGAATAACCACCATCCCCTATTGCATCTGCTCACCTGGTTGCCCTGTAGACATTTTCCAGGACATTTTTCCAGGGATGCAGTGACAGGGATGGTCCCCAGCACAGCTCATCATCAGTACAGGAGTTCAGTGCATCAGCAAAGTGCAAGCAGGTCACCAGGGTACAGGCAAGGCCAAGCTTTGCCTTAGGGAAAGGCAAGTGAAGGACAACATCCAGCTAGGTTTGGGGGGGGTGGGGTGGAGCTGAGTCCCCACCCCCAAAACCACAAAGGAACCAAAACCTTCTCTTTCATGAGAAAGAAGCCCTAAATCCCCAGGGATTCACCCAGGGCAGCCAGTTTAGGTGCTTCCAAAAATTCCTCCTGGCACTTCTCAGCATCTCCACGCATCTCATGTCCCTTGGGAGATGCTGGAACCCCCTCCCACCAAAATATCCAGGCGAGTCATCACCAAAACCAGGCTCAGGGGAAACCACGTGTCCTGGATGCAAAGTTATGGCAAAAAACTCCCTGTTGGGGAAGGCAGCTGCCAGCCAAGCTGCAGTGAAACTTTCACTCCTTCCACTTCATTAATAAAAGGGGTAAAAAAAATAAGAGACAGGGGCCTTGACATCAAAAAAATACAGACTGTGTGTTTTAGAGCAGGGTTTCCTGTAACCACCTCTCTCTGGTTCCTTTTCATTCATTTTCTCCATGTTGTCAGTGTGGACTCAGGCAGGTCAAAGGTTTAAGCTTTTCTGGAAATATTTGTTCAAAAAAACATAAAAAACTGGCTAATCTTCACATTTTGTTGCCTTCACACCAGACTGGGAAACACATGGTCAGAGCTTGGGGTTGTTTTTTTTTTTCTTTCTTTCTTTCTTCTTTCTTTCTTTCTTTCTTTCTTTCTTTCTTTCTTTCTTTCTTTCTTTCTTTCTTTCTTTCTTTCTTTCTTTCTTTCTTTCTTTCTTTCTTTCTTTCTTTCTTTCTTTCTTTCTTTCTTTCTTTCTTTCTTTCTTTCTTTCTTTCTTTCTTTCTTTCTTTCTTTCTTTCTTTCTTTCTTTCTTTCTTTCTTTCTTTCTTTCTTTCTTTCTTTCTTTCTTTCTTTCTTTCTTTCTTTCTTTCTTTCTTTCTTTCTTTCTTTCTTTCTTTCTTTCTTTCTTTCTTTCTTTCTTTCTTTCTTTCTTTCTTTCTTTCTTTCTTTCTTTCTTTCTTTCTTTCTTTCTTTCTTTCTTTCTTTCTTTCTTTCTTTCTTTCTTTCTTTCTTCCTTTCTTCCTTTCTTCCTTTCTTTCTTTCTTTCTTTCTTTCTTCCTTCCTTCCTTCCTTCCTTCCTTCCTTCCTTCCTTCCTTCCTTCCTTCCTTCCTTCCTTCCTTCCTTCCTTCCTTCCTTCCTTCCTTCCTTCCTTCCTTCCTTCCTTCCTTCCTTCCTTCCTTCCTTCCTTCCTTCCTTCCTTCCTTCCTTCCTTCCTTCCTTCCTTCCTTCCTTCCTTCCTTCCTTCCTTCCTTCCTTCCTTCCTTCCTTCCTTCCTTCCTTCCTTCCTTCCTTCCTTCCTTCCTTCCTTCCTTCCTTCCTTCCTTCCTTCCTTCCTTCCTTCCTTCCTTCCTTCCTTCCTTCCTTCCTTCCTTCCTTCCTTCCTTCCTTCCTTCCTTCCTTCCTTCCTTCCTTCCTTCCTTCCTTCCTTCCTTCCTTCCTTCCTTCCTTTTCTCTTTCTCTTTCTCTTTCTCTTTCTCTTTCTCTTTCTCTTTCTCTTTCTCTTTCTCTTTCTCTTTCTCTTTCTCTTTCTCTTTCTCTTTCTCTTTCTCTTTCTCTTTCTCTTTCTCTTTCTCTTTCTCTTTCTCTTTCTCTTTCTCTTTCTCTTTCTCTTTCTCTTTCTCTTTCTCTTTCTCTTTCTCTTTCTCTTTCTCTTTCTCTTTCTCTTTCTCTTTCTCTTTCTCTTTCTCTTTCTCTTTCTCTTTCTCTTTCTCTTTCTCTTTCTTGTTCTCTTTCTCTTTCTTCTCTTTTTCTCTTCTTCATCTTCTTCTTCTGTTTCTTTTTCAATGAAACCATCTGGCATCCATGACATGCTCTGAAAAAAAATAATTAACCCCCCCCAAGCTGTGTTTTGCAATATGTGAAAAGCCTTGCTGGGCTGCAGAGCTTTTCTTCCTCCCAGAGCTTGAAATTAGTTTGCACGTTGTGGTTGTAGAGTGAGATCATGCTCTTCCACTGTTTAGGGAGTCAAACTGGGTTGTTACAAGGCAAACTGGAGTTTTTCCTGGGCTTTTTCTGAGGTTTCGTCTCCCTCTGATAATTGTGGAATGGAGATTGGACCCGCTGGGATCTGGCCAGATTGCTGAGATGGGGGTGGGGGGCAGAGGGCAGAGCTCACAGGGCATGGAGAAGAAGGAGCAAAAAAGGGAAAAGCTCAAAGATTGGGTCCACTCCCACTTTTTGGTTGGAGTGCACCAGCCTGCACAGAACCACCAGCCCTCTCCTGCTCTCCGAGCCAGAACTGCCATTGCCACACAGGTTTGTCCCCCTGTCCCTGCTGGTGAGGCCTCCTCTCAGCCTAAAGCCTGCAAACAAACCCAGGAGGGCTGGAGAGTGGATGCCCACTGGAGATGTTTTCCTGGAAGGTGGTTTTTAGCAAGGAGGAATGTGCCCAACCTCCCTGAGGATGTGATCTCAGCTGACTGCTGCTCCCATCCTCCTGGGCCATCTTGGAGCCATAATTCACCAGAGCCCATCAGAGCAGCAGGAGCTGCCTCCAGGCTCATCCCTCCTCTTCCTCACCTGCTGTGGGGCCAAAGGCTCCCATTCCCACATGGATCTCCAGCCTTCCCTGTGGCTGGAGCATCCCAGATTTCACCTGGAGAGGGCACACCAGCAGCTGCTGTAGGGACTGCGGAAGAGGAGGAGGAGGGATGGCTGAAGTCACCGTGGCCTGCTCAGGGGCACCTGGGCTGCAGCCTGGGGCTGCCCTGTGTTACAAAACCATGGGGGCTCTGCGGGCTTCTGAAATCAGCCATGAGCAGAGTCCTACCCTGGAGCAGGCTGGAAGCAAACCAGTGTCTGTTGCCGTCCCAACATCTTTGCAGACAACCCAGTGGAGAGTCTTCTCCTTCTCAGATCATGATGCCAAGTCATCTTCACAGTGGTCCTGGGAGACCATGGGTCACATACATCCCTGGATGTGTTTAGAAATCGTACAAATGTGGTGCTTCCGGGAAGAGCAAGAGGTGGAGCAGTGGAGGGCTGAGTCATCACCAGATCATGTTTTCTCAGTCCATATGGCCACAGGTGGGCTACACAACATCAACCACGGTCTTGGAAAACACCAGCCTTCTTGTTGTTCCTGCGCATATGGATCACAGCTCTTCTCCCATCTCAGTCTTGCTTTGGGAATTTGCTGTCTACCAGCTATCACAGATTGGTTTGAGTTGGAATGGACCTTAAAGACCATCTAGTTCCAATCCCCTTACCATGAACAGGGACACCTTCACTAAACAGGCAGGTTGTCTGCCAGGACACCTGGCTTGCTAGGCTGCTTGCATAGCAAGATAATCCATTAATGCCCCAAGTTGCTCTTCAGTATTTGCAGAAGTGCTCAAGTGAGTCCATGAGACCCAGAATTCAGATTGGGCACTGACACAGACATATTCTTGTGGTCACTGAGCCCTACCCTCAGTCCCTCACCCATGCTTTTTACCAGTAATGTAGTTTTCCCCACTGTGTAGCCATGCCCACTGGGGACACAGAGGGCTGCCTGTGTGGCAGCAGAGCTGGAGAGCATCTCCCCAGCCTGTGGTGGTCTCAGTACCTTTGCTGAGACCTTCTGCCACCAGCATCAGTTGCTCTTGGTCCATGTCCCCCAACCTGGGCTCAGGAAACAAAATCCTTTTCCTCACTCAGTCTATTAGGTAAGACTTAAAATTCATTTTCATTTTGCCAGCTCAAACTGTAACATCTTTTCCTCTCTTGCCTCTGTGTTGGTTTTTTCTTCTCTTTTCTTTGTGTTGCTGTTTCTCCCAGCTGTCCAGATCCACATTCTGAAAGCAGAAAAAAACGCCGACTGGTGGAAGTTCACAGTCAACATCATCTCTGTCTACAAACAAGGCAGCAACCGCATCCGGCGTGGAGACCAGACCCTGTGGATCCACTCCAAGGACATCGCGTGCAAGTGCCCCAAAATCAAACCCATGAAGAAATATTTGCTGCTGGGCAACAACGAGGACTCTCCTGACCAGAGCGGCATCATTGCGGACAAAACCAGCCTGGTGATCCAGTGGCGGGACACGTGGGCGCGGCGGCTCAGGAAGTTCCAGCAGCGCGAGAAGAAAGGGAAGTGCAAGAAGGCCTAAAAGGAGGAGAAGGCAATGGAGGGTGCGGGAGAGAGTGACTGTGCATGCTGCTTTGTGTGGGCCTGGGGTGGGCATGGGCCACGGCAGGGGCAGAAGGTCCTGCTGTTGTGGTGGGATGTGGGGGGGACAGGATGGGACAGTGATGACGGCTGTGGGGCTGCCAGGTTGGCACTTAGTATTCTGGGAGAAAACGCACCAAAACACAACCAAAACCAACGGGGCATCTGGATATCGCAGAGAGGAGGGTGGGGGTGGGCAGCACCCAGTGTGCCCACTCAGCTTCTTCCTGCCGTATGGGCTGAAGAAACCAGAGACACCTGCCTGCCTTCCAGCTGCTAACATCTGGTGCTGCCAAAGCATGGCACGGGAACACCAATGCTGATGGGAACTAATCAATAGCAATGCTGGAACTTCACCCCCCTTCCCAAAATACATATTGTCATCTTGGGTTGAACAAGGCAGTTATGGTAGAGGAACCAAACAGAGAATTATCACTGACGACAGAGTTGAGGAGCAACTACTATGGGTTATTTGAAGACTCTTTGGTGTCCAATAGCTGTGACTGTCACCTGCTGTCCAGTACTGGGAGTGGCCAAAGTCTCCAGCTGTGGCCATGGTCTGATCCCCAGTTAGGCACAGCAAAGAGAAGACCACATTTGTGGGTGACTTCCACATAGGGGTAACTTGGGAGCAACTCCTTGCTCCAGCCTCCACCCCCTGAGGAGCATTTACCCCATCATGCTGAAGCAGCATGAGCCCAGGGGGTGCCTTGGCCCCCTCCCAGCCACAGATTCCAGCCAAGAAGTCAATAACCAAGTTCCTGAAGGAAACACCCAGGCTTCAAAAAAAAAAAATAACTCAACATTCAGTTCCTGGAGCTGCCCTGGAATATTTCACTGCGCACAGTCCGTGAGTTTCCACTGTGGCCAACCCTGAGACCTTCTTCCTGGGCCTGGTCCTCTCTGTCTCCATCAGCACACGATGAACCCTCACACGATAGAAAATCCATGCAGGTGACACCAATTCATTTCATGGTTGTTCCACCCCCAGACTCACACCAGCTCTGCCCGTGTTCCTTCTAGAGCTGGAGCTGCCTGGCGACCCTGCAGAAGGTGGCCAACCCACTTGGGAGACACAGGAGGTGGGACAGAGGGTGACAAAGGACTGTCCCCATGGGCTGCTGGGCCAGCAAAGGGCAAGCAACCTGCTCCAAGGGAAACAGAGAAGACCAGCAAAGACCTGCTCCCTGCTCTCAGTCAGGGACTGGATGAACAAGGTGTGACCCACACCCCCCTCCCCCACCCCCATGGCGCTCTCCTCCTTCTGCTGGGGTTGAAAACCAGCAAACCTAAAATTCCCTGTCTCTGGTTGCCAATGCCCTCAGCAAGGTACCAGCTGCCTCACCTCCACCTCACTCCCTGTGCCCAGCCTGAGGGCTGGAGCATTTTTCCCCAGGGCACTACAGGCCAGGACTGGCTGTTGTTTGTCACCCAGAGATTGTGTTCCCTTGCCAGGCTGCTCCCCTGCCAGCCCAGCCCAGAAGGAATGAGGAAATCTGAGCTCAGCTAATTGATGGAGACAGGCAGGAGAGGCAGGGAGGGCAGGACGGGTACCTGGAGGAGAAGCAAACATGAGTCACTACAAAAAGCAAAACCTCCTTGATATTTTCCCTTTTAGGAAACTTGGAAACATCTCTTTTATGACATTTTCCAGTGGTTTTGCCTTGTTTTATAGCAATTGACAATATTTATATAATGACATAAACCACCATAAAGCGAGGCAGCCATGTCAGTAGGTGTGAAGTGGAGGGCTCCCAGGGAAGCACCAGCCAGGGAGCAAGTTCTGCT